GGTTGGGTTTGTGTTGTTTGGGTTGTGGTGTGGGGGTTGTTGGGGTGTTGGGGGTGGGTTGGGGAGTGTGGGGGGGGGTGTTTGTTTTTGTGTGGTGGGGTGGGGGGTGGGGGTTGGATTTTGGGGGTGGTGGGTGGGGAATGGTGTTTGTTTGTTTGGTGTGTGTTGTTTGTTTGTGGGTGGGTGAGGGGTTGGTGTTTTGGGTGTGGTTTAAGGGTGGATTTTTTGTGGTTGGGGGTTATTTGAGTGTATGGGGGGGATGTGTTGGGATGGGGGGGATGGGGTGGGGGATGGGTGGTTGGTTGGGTTGTGGGTTTGGTGATGTGGGTTTGTTGGGTGTGTGGTTTTTGGGGGGGTTTGGTGTAGGGTGTGTGGTTTTGTGGGGGGTGGGTGGGGGTTGTGGGGTGGATGGGGGGGGGGGGGGGGGGTGGGGTTGGGGGGTGGGTGTTGGGGGGGGGGTGGGGGTTGTTGTGTGGTTGGTTGGTGTGGGTTTGTGTATTGGAGGAGGGGATAAAAAGGGTGGGGGGGGGGGGTATAAATATGATGGGTGATTAGATAGGAAATGTAATGTGGTGGGGAGAGGAAGTTGAGTGAAGATGAATTTAGGTGTTTGGATATGTTGTTGTGGAGTATGTAGATGGTGTTTGTTTGGTTGGGGGGTATGTAGGAATAGAAGAGATGGTATGGAGGATGTATTTGGGATGGGTGGTATTGTTATGTTTAGTGGGTTGGGGATTTTGGATTTTTGGGTGGGGGGTTGGTATTGGGTTGGGTTGGGTAGGGTTTGGTTGTGGTTTGTGTGTTTTTGGTTTTTGGTGTTTGTGGGGTGGTGTGTGTGGGGGGTTTGGTGGGGTGGGGGGGGGTTTGGTGATGTGGGGGGGGGTGGGTGGTGTAGGGTGGTGGGGGTTGTGTGTGGTATGTGGGTGGTGTGTGGGGTGTGGGTTGGTGGTTGGTGGTTGGGTTTTTTTGGGGGTGGTTTTGGTGGGGGGTGGTGGGTGTTGTTGGGGGTTTGGTTTGGGGGGTGGGTGTGGGGGTGGGATGTGTTTGGTTTAGGTGGGGGTTGTTGGGGTGGTGTTGGGGGTGGGGGGGGTTGGGTGTGTGGTTGGGTGGTGGGGTGGTGTTAGTTTGTGTTGTGTTGGGGGTTGGGATATGTTGTAGTTGTTGTTGGGGGTTGTTTTGGGTAAGGGTTTGGGTTGGGGTGTGTTGTTTGGAGTTGTGTTGGTTATAGGAGTGAGTTTTTTGTTGGTTTGTGGGTTGGGTTGGGTGGGTTTGGGGGGGGGGGAGTGGGTAGGGGGGGGGGTGTAGGTTGTGGAAATGGTTTTTTTTGGTGGGTGTGTTGATATGGAGGTTAAAAGGATTGGGTACTATAATGGTTTTTTTGTGGGTGGTGGGGTGGGGGGGGGGGGGGGATGGGGGTGGGGGGGGTGGGAGGGGGGGGTTGGGGGGGGGGTTTTTATGGGGAGATTTGTATTTTGTTATGTTAGTGTAATTGGTTGTTTTATGGGGTTGAGGGTGTGTGGGATTGTGTTTTGGTTTTTGTGGGGGTTTATTTTGGTGTTTGGGTTGTGTGGTGTTAGGGGGGAGGTGTGGTTTATGTGTTTTATGGATTGTGTTTTTGGTGTTTGGGGGGGGTTGTGGGGGGGGGGGGTTTGGGTGGGTGTTGGGTGGTTGGTTGGTGTGTGGGGGGTTGGGGTGTTGGGTGTGTTGTGGGTTGGTGGTTTTTTGTGGTTTTGGTTGTGGGTTTTGGTGGGTGGTGGGGGGGAGGGGGGGGGGTGGTTGTTGTTGTTTTGGGGGGGTTGGGGTGGTGTGGGGGGTTGGTTGAGGTGTGTGTTGTGGTGGGGGGGGGAGGGGGGGGGGGGTTGGTGATGTGGGGGTTGGGTGGTGTGGGGGGGGGGTGGGTTGGGGGTATGTGGTTTGTTGTGTTTTGGGTGTGGGTTTTGGGTGGTGTTGTTGTTTGTGGGGTTTGTGGGGTTGTGTTTTGGTGGGTTTTGTGGGTGGGTGAAGGGGGGGGGGTTTTGGGTTATTGGGGTTTGGGTTGTGGGGGTTGGGGTGTTGGGTGTTGGTGGGTTTTTGGTGTTTGGGGTGTTGGGGGGGTTGGTGTGTGTTGGGGGGTTGGGGGTTTGGGGGGTTGGGGGGTTGGGGGGTTGGGGGGGTTGGGGTTGGGTGGGGTTTGTGGTGGGGGGGTTTGGTTTGTTTTGGGTGTTGGGGTTGGGGTGTTGGTGTGTTGTGTGGGTGGGGTGTGTGGGTTTGGTTGTGTGTGGGTGGTATTGGTTGTGGTTGGTTGTGTGGTTGGTGTGGTTGTGGGGATGGTGTTTGGTGGTGGGTTGTTGGGGTTGGTGGGGGGTTTGTTTTGGTGTTGTGTGTTGGGTGGGTGGGGGGTTGGGTTGGTGGGGGGGGGGGGGTTGTGGGGGTGGGTGTGTGTTGGGGTGGTTGGGGGGGGTGTGGTGGGTGGGGGTGGGTGTTTGGGGGGGGGTGGGGGGTGTGGGTGTGTGGGTTGGTGGTGTTGTGTGTGGGTGATTGGTGGTGGGTTTGGTGTGGGGTTTGGTGTTGGGGGTTTGTGGTGGGGTTTGTGGTGGTTTGGTGGGGGTGGGGTTTGTGTGGGGTTTGTTGGTGGGTTGTGTGGGGTTGGTGGTGGGTTTGTGGTGGGTTTGGTGGTGGTTTGGTGGTGGGTTGGTGGGTGGGGTTGTGGTGGGTTGGATGGGTGGGTTTTGTGGTGGGTTTTTGTGGGGGGGGTGGGGGGGTTTTGGTGGGTGGGTTTTGGTGGGGGGGGGGTGGGGGTTTGGTGGTTGTGTGGGGGGGGGGTGTGGGGTTTGGTGGTGGGGGGGGTGGGGGTGGGGGGGGGGGGGGGGGGTGGTGGGGTGTGTGTGGGGTGGGGGGGTGGGGGGTGTGGGGTGTTTTGGGTTGTTTTGGGTTTGGGTGTTTGGGGGGGGTGGTGGGTGGGGGAGGGTTATGGTGGTTGGGAGGTGTGTGTGTGGGGTGGTGGGGGTTTGGTTGGGGGGGGGGGGGTGTGGGGGGGGTTGGGGTGTTTGTGGGGTTGTTGGTTGTGGTGGTGGGGTTGTATTTTGGGGGGGGTTTTTGGGGTTGGTTATTTTGTTGATGTGTTTTGGGGGTGGGTTGTGTGGTTGGGGGGGGGGGTGGGTTTGTGTTGTTGGTTGTTGGGGTGGGTGGTGGGGTGGGTTTGGGTGGGGGTTGGTGGGGTGGTTGTGGGGGGGGGGGTTGTGGTGGGGTGAGGGTGGGGGGGTGTGGGGGGTGGGGGTGTGTTTTGGGGGGGGTGTTGGGGTTTGGGGGGGTTTGGGGGGGGGTTGGGTGTTGGTGTGGTTTGGGGGGGGGTTGTGGTGGGTTGGTGGGGGGGGGTTGGGGGGGTGTTTGGGGGGTGGGGGGTGTTGGGGGTGGTGGGTTGGGGGGTTGGGTGGGGTGGGGGGGGGGTGGTGGGTGGTGGGGGGGGGGTTGGGGGTTGGGGGGTTGTGGGGTGGGGGTGGTTTGGGTGGGGGTGGTGTGGGGTGTGGGGGGTTGGGGGTGTTGGGGTGTGTGTGGGTTGGGTTTTGGTGTTGTGGGGTGTTGGGGGTGTGGGTGGGTTTGTTTTTGGGGTGGTGGGGGGGGGGGTTTGGTTGGTTGGTTGGGGTGGTTTTGGGTTTGGTGTGTGGTGGTGTTTTTGGGTGTTGGTGTGGTTTGGGGGGGGTGGGGGGGTTGGGGGTTGGGTTTGGTGTTTTTTGGGGTTGGGTTTGTGGGGTGTGTGGGTTGGGTGGGGGGTTGGGGGGGGGGGGTGGGGTGGTGGTGGGGTGTGGGTGGGGGGGGGGGGGGGGGGGGGGTGGGGGGTGGGGGGGGGGTGGGGGGGTTGGGGGTTTTTGGAGGGTTGTGTGTGTGTTGTTTGTGGGTGGGGTGGGTGGGTGGGTGTTGGGGGTTGGTGGTGGGTGGGGTGGGGGGGGTTGGGGGGGTGGGTGTTGGGGGGTTTTGTGTGGGTGGTTGTGGGGGTGGGGGTTGGTGGTTGTGGTTGGGGGGGTTTGTTTGTGGTTTGGGTGGGGGGTGGGGGGGGGGGTTGGGGGGGTTTGGGGGTTTTGTTGGGGGTGTGTGGGTGTGGGGGTGGTGGGTGGGGGGGGGGGGGGGGTTGTTGTTGTGGTTTGTGTTTTTGGTTTGTTTGGTGGGTGGTGTTTGGTGGGGGTTGTGTGTGGTTTTGGGTTTGGGGTGTGGTGTGGGGGTGGTGGGGGTGTGGTGGGGGGGGGGTGGGGTGGGGTGGGGGTGTGGGTTGGTGGGGTGGGGTTGGGGGGGGGGGGGGGGTGTTTTGGTGTTGGTTGTTGTGGGGGAGGTTTTTGGTGGGTTGGTGGGGGTTGGTGGGGGGGGGGTGGGGGGGGTGGGTGGTGGTTGTTGTTGGGGTTGGGGGGTGGTGTGGGGGGTTGGTTGGTTGTTTGTGGTGTGGGGGGTTGGTGTTGGGGGTGGTTTGTGTGGTGTGGTGTTTTGTGTTGGGGGGGGGGGGGGGGGGTTTGTGGGGGGGGGTGGGTGGGGTGTTGGTTGGGGTGGGGGTGGTGTGTTTGGGGGGGGGTGGGGGTGGGGGGGGGTGTGTGTGGGGTGGTGGTGGGGGGTGGGGGGTGGGGGTTGTGGGGGTGGTGTTGGGTGTGTGGTGGGGGGGGGGGGGGGGGGTGGGTTTGTGGGTGTTGGGTTTTTTTGTTGGGTGGTGGTTGGGTGGGGGGGTGGGTGGGGTGTTGGGTTTGGGGTGTGTGGGGGGTGTGGAGGTGTGGGGGTGGTTGTGTTGTGGTGGTTTGTGTGGGTGTTGGGGGGGGTGGGGGGGTTGGGTGTGGGGGGGTTGGGGGGGGTGGGGGGGGTATGTGGTAGTTGGGTTGTTAGGTGGGGGGGTGGTTGGTGGTGGGGGGGGGGTTGTTGTTTTGTGGGGGATGATTGGTTTTTAGTGGGGGGGGGGGGGGGGGGGGGGGGGTTTTGGGGAGTAATAGATGATGATTAAGGGTATTTAATGGTAATTAAGAGTGGGTGGTGAGGATGGGATATGTATGGGGGGTGGAGGTTGTGGGTGTTTGATAGGTGATGGAGGTGAAGGGGGGGGTGGGGGGGGGGGTTATGGGGGGTGGGTGTGGGTGGGGTGGGGTTTTGTTGGGTGGGTGGGAGGTGTGGGGGTGTTGGGTGGGGGGGTGGGGGGTGGGGGGTTGGGGTTGTGGGGGGTGGTGGTTGTGTTTGGGTGTTTGTTGGGGGTTGGGTGGTGGGGGTGTGTGGTTGGGGGGGTGGGTTGGGTGTGTGGGTGGTGGTGTGGGGGGGTGGTGGTGGGGTGTGTTGAGGTGGGGGTGTGTGGGTGGGGGGTGGTGGGGGGGTGGGGTTGTGTGGGGGGTGTGGTGGGGGGTGTGTGGGGGGGTGTTGGTTTGGGGGGTGTTTTAGTGGGTTGGGGGGGGGGGGGGGGGGGGGGGGGGTTGGTTGGGGGGTGGGTTGTGTGTGGGGGGGTTTGTGGGGGGGGGGGGTGGGTGGGGTTGGGGGGGGGGGGGTTGGGGGGGGTTTGGTGGGGTGGGGTGTTGGGGTGGGGTTTGTTTTTTGTGGGTGGGTGGTTGGGTGGGGGGGTGGGGGTTGGGGGGGGTGGGGGGGTTTGTGTGTTTTTTTTTGTTTTGGGGGGGGGGGGGGGGGGGGGTGGGGGGTGGGGGGTGTGGGGGGTGGGTTTGTTGGGTGGGGGTGTTTTTTGTTTGTTGGGGGTTGGTGGGTGGGGGGGGTGGGTTGTGGGGGGGGTGGGGGGGGGGGTGTTGGGGGGGTGGGGTGTTTGGGGTGGTGGGTGGGGGATGTGGTGGGGGGGGGTGGGGGGGTGGGGGGGGGTGGTGGGGTTGTGTTGTGGGTGGGTGTTTGTGGGGTGGGGGTGGGGGGGTGGGTATTGTTTTTTGTGGGGGGGGGGGGGGGGGGGGGGGGTTTGGGGTGGTGGGTGGGGGGGTGTGTTTATAATAGGGGTGTGGTTAGAGGGTTTTTGTTTGTTTTGGTGGTTGTTGGATGTTTTTTGATTAGTTAGTGGTTTGGTGGGGATTTGGGGGGGGAAAGTAAGTATTGGGGGGGGTGGGTTTGTGGGTTGTTTTTGGTTTGTTTGGTGGGGGGTTGGGGGGTGGGTGGGGGATGTGTGAGTTTTGGGGGGTGGTTTGGTGTGTGTGGGGGGGGGTGTGTGGGGGGGTGTGGGGGGTTGGGGTGGTGGGGGGGGGGTTGAGGGGGGGGGTGGGTGTGGGGGGTTTGGGTGGGTTTGGTTGTTTTTTTTTTGTTTGGGGGGGGTTTTGGGGTGAGGGGGGGTTTGGTTTAGTATGGGGTTGTTGTTTGTATTATTGGGGGTTTTTTGTTGGGGGGGTGGGGTTGTGTTTGGGGTTGGTGGGGGGGGTGGGGTGGGGGGGGGGGTGGGGTTTGGGTTGGGGGGGGTGTTGGGTGGTGGGGTGTGGGGGGGGGGGTGGTGGTGGGGGGGTGGGGGGGGGGGGGGGGGGGTGTTGGTGTGTGTGGGGGGTGTGGGGTGTGGGTTGTTTGTTTTTAGGGATGGTGTTTGGGTTAGTGTTAGTGGTTGGTGTTGTGTTGTTTGGGTGGTGTTGTGGTTGGTGGTGGTTTGGTTGGTGTTTGTGGTTGGTTTGGTGTGGTTGGGTGGTGTTGTGGTTGGGTGGTGTGTGGTTGGGGGTGGTGTTGTGTTGGTGGTGATGTTGTTGTGGTTTGTGGTTGGTGGTTTTGTTGTTGTGTGGTGGGGTTGTAGGTTGGGGTTTTTTGGTTGGTGTGTTGTGGTTGGTGTTTTGGTGGTGTTTTTGTTGTTGGGGTGGTGGGTTGTGGTTGTGGTGTTGTGGTTGGTGTGTTTTTGGTTGGGGTGGTTTTGTTTTGGTGTTTTGTGTGGGGGGGGTGTGGTTGGTTGGGGGGGGGGGTGTGGGTTGGTTTTGGGGGGGTGGGGGGGGGGGGGGGGGGGGGGGTGTGTGGTGGGTGTTTTTGTGGGTTGTGGGGTGTGGGGGTGGTGGGGGGGGGTTGGTGGGGGGGGGGGGGTGGGTGTGGGGGTTTGTGTTGTGGTTGGGGTGGTTATGGGTTTTGGTGGTGGTGTGAGTTGTTGGTGGGATAGGTTTGTTGTTTGTTGTGGAGGTGGTTTTGTGGGTTGGGTGGGGTTTGGGTGGGGGGTGGGTTTGGGTTTGTTGTGGGTGTGTGGTTGTGAGAATGTGGGGAGTGTAGTGGGAGAGAGAAGGGGGAGAGATGAGTGGAGTGAGAGGTGTGAGTGTGGAAGATGAGAGGGGATTTTATGTGTGGTGTGTAGTGTGGTGGTGTGTGTGGGGGTATAGTGGAGAGTGTGTGGTGTGTGTGTGTGTGTTTGGGGTGTGGGTGTGGTGTGTGTGTGGGTGTGTGTTGTGTAGTGTGGGTGTGTGTAGTTGAGTGGTTTGTGTGTGGGTGTGAGTGGGTGTGAGTGGTGTGAGAGTGAAGGGGTGTGTGTGGGGAGAGTGTGTGGGTGAGTGTGGTGTGAGTGAGGTGTTGTGTGGTGAGTGTGTGTGTTGAGGTGTTTGTTGTGGTGAGTGTGGATGAGTGTGTTGTGAGTGGGGTGTGATGTTTGGGGTGTGTGTGGGGATGTTGTGTGTGTGTGGGGGTGTGTGTGGGTGTTGTGAGGGGGGATTGTGTGGTGTTGTTGAGTTTGGTTTGTTGGGGGGGGGAGGGTGGGGGTGTGTGGGGGGGGTGGGGTTTTGGGTGGGGTGGTTGGGGGGTGTTGGTTTTGGTTGTGGTTGGGGGTGTTGTGGGGTGTGGTGGGGGTTTGGGTGGGGGTGGTGGGAGGGTAGGGGGTTTTGGGTGGTTTGTGAGGGTTAGGGGGGGGTTGAGAGGGGGGGGGGGGTGGTTTGGGTGGTGGTGTTTGGGGTGGTTGGGTGTGGGAGGTGTTAGTGGGGTGGGGTGTGGTGTGGTGGGGTGTGTGGTTTGTGGGGTTGGTGGGTGTTATGGGGGGTGTATTGGTTTGGTGGTGGGGGGGGGGGGGGGTTTTTTGGGTGGGGGGGTGTGGGGGGGTGGTTGGGTGTTTGTGGTTGGTTGGGGGGGGGGGGGTGTTGGGGGGGTGTGGGGGGGGGTTGGGTTTATATTTATTTGATTTATAGATTTGATTATTTTATTATATTTTATTTAATTTTAGGATATGGATATATTTAGTTATTATGTTATATAATATGATAATAGTAGTGGGGGGGTTTGGGTAAGGGTTTGTTGGTGGTGGGGGTTTGTGGTGTTATGTTGAGGGGGGTAGGGTAGTAGGGTTGGGGGTTGTATTTTTTATGGGATGTTTATTTATTTAGAGGGGTTTGGTGGGGGTGGGGGGTGGGGGGGGGAGGGTGTGGGTTGTGTGGGGGGGGGGGGGGTGTTGGTTGGGTTGTGTTTAGAATGGGAAGTGGAGTTGGGATGAGGGGGGGGGGGTATGGTTTGATAGAATGAATGATTAATGGAATAATTTGTTAGAAATGGTAAGGGAATGAGGGTGTTGGGGGATGGGGAGGAGTAGATAAGATTAAGATTGATTAATGGGAGGGAGAGTTAGAATGTGGGTTGTTGGTTTTGTGTGGTGATTGTGTAGAGAAAAAGGGGGGGTGGGTAAGGTGGGATAAGGGGGGAGGTTGAAAAATAAGGGTGATTAGGTTAATTGGATTGTTAGTAAGGGGATGAGGGGGTTGGGGGGGGGTTGGAGTAGGGGTGTGGTGGGGGATAAGGTAGGGGGGGTTTAGAAGAAGGTAGAAGAAAGAATTTTGTTGGGGTTTTGTGATTGAGGGATTGGGGGGTTTTTTTAGTAGGTGGTGTTGTGATGTTGGTATGAGTGAGATTGGGGTGTGGAGGTTGAGGAAGGTTGAAGATGGAGGATTGTGTTAGGTATTGTGGTTTGGGTGGGGGGGGGGTATTTGTTGGTAATGGGTGTGGGGTTGTGGGTGGGGGGGGTGAGTGGGGAGGTGGGGGTTGGGGGGGGGATGGGTGGTTTGTGTTGGTGTGGGTGGGGGGGTGTTAGGGGGGTTTGTGGTTTTGTGTGGGTGTTGGGGGGGGTGTTGGTGTGGGTTATTTTGTAGAGTGTGTGGGTGGTGGTTGAGTGGTGGTGTTTTTGGGGGGGTGATTATGGTTGTGGGGGTGGTTGGGGGGGGTTGTTGGGTGGGGTAGGTATATATTAGAATGAATGTTTGATGTGGTTTGTGTTGGGTGAATGGATAGGTTTTGGTGGGTTAGGGTGGTTTGGGTGGGGTTGGATGGGGGTTTGTTGGGGGAGTTGGGGGGGGGGGGGTATGTTGTTGGGGGGGGGTTTTGTGGTTGTGGGTGGGGGGGGTGGTGGGTGGTGGGGGTTTGTTTTGGTTTGGTGTGGGGGGGGGGGGGGGGTGTGTTGGGGTTTGATTGTGGTATGGGTGTGATGGGGGTTTGTGTGGTGTGTGTGTGGTGGGGGGTTGTGGTGTGGTGTTGGTTTTGTGTGGGTTGTGGGGTGTGTGTTGTTTGGTGTTGTTGTTGGGGTTTTGGGGGGTGTTGATTGGGTGGGTGGGGTTGTTGGTTGTGTTTTGGAGTTTGTTGTGTTTGTGGGTTGGTGTTTGGTGGGTGGGGTTGGGTGTGGTTGTGTATGTTTGTTAATGATTGGGGGGGGGGGGGGGTGGTGGTTGTGGTGGTGTGGGGAGGGATGGTGTGGTTGGGTGGGTGGGGGGTTGGGGGGTGGTTGGGTGGGGGGGTTGTGGTGGGGTTGTTTTTTTTGGTTGGGGGGGATGGATGGAGTTGGGGTTGTGTGTTTGTGGTGGTGGTGGGGGGTGGGGGGGTCGGGGGGGGGTGTGTGGGGTGGGGGTGTGTGGTGTGGTGGGTGTTTGGTGTTTTGGTTGTTGGGTTTGGGGTGGGGGTGGGGGGTTGGGGGGTTGGGGGGGTGGGGGGGGGGGGTTGTTGTTGGTTTGTGGGGGGGGGGTTGGGTTGTTTTGTGGTTGTTTGGTTGGGGTGTGTTGTGTGTGTTTGTTGGTGGTGGGGTTTGGGGTTGGTGTGGGGGTGGGGGGGGTTGTGTGGTGGGTTGTTTTTTGGTGGGGTTTGTGTTGGGTGGGTTGTGTTGTGGGGGGTGTGGGGGGGTGGGGGGGTGTGTGTGGGGGGGGTGGGGGGTGTGGGGGGGGGGGGTTGGGGTTTTGGTGTTGGGGTGTTGGGGGTGTGGGGGGTTTGTGGGTTTGGGGTGGTGGGTGTGTTGGTTTGTTGGGGGGTGTTGGTTTGGGTGTTGGGGAGTTTTGGTGTGGTGTGGTGGGTGGGGGTTGGTTGGGGTGGGGTTGTAGTTTGGGGTGGAGGGTGTGGGGGTAGGGGTTTGTGATGGGTTTGTGTGTTTTGTTATTGGTTGGTGGGGATATAATTGGGATTGATTATGTGGTTGGGTGTTGTGAATTGTTGGGAAGGGTATTTGTGGGGTGTTGTATTGGGTGTGATGAGGTATTTTTGGGTTTGGGAGATTGATAGTGTGTTGGTTGGGGGTGTGGGGGTTTGGGGGGGTTGGGTGGATTGGTGTATTGGTGTTGTTGTGTGGGGGGTTGGGGTGTTATGGGGTTAGGGGGGGGTGTATTGTTGTTGTTTTGGGGGTGTTTGGGGTTTTGGGGGGGGTTGGTGTGTGTTGGGGGTGTGTTATTTGATTTGGGTAAGTTGGGGTTGGAGGGGTGTGGTGGGTTTGTGGGGGGTGGGGGGTTTAGGGGTTGTGGGGGGGGGGGTGGGGTGGTTTGGGGGGGGTGGGGTGGGGTTTTTGTTTTTTGTTATGTTTTTGATGGATATTTTTATGGTTGAAGGTATGTAGTGTTAATTGGTGGGTTGGGGGTGTGTGGGGGGGGGGGGGTATTGGTGGGGGGGGGTATGGTGGGTTTTTTTGTGGTAGTGGATTGGGGGTGGGGGGGTGGGGGGTGTGGTGGGGGGGGGGTGTGTTTGGTGTTGGGTGGTTTGGGTGTGGTGTGGGGGGGTTGGGGTGGGGGTGGTTGTGTGTTGGGTGGGTTGTGGGGGGTTTGGGGTGTGTTTGTTGTTGTTTTTTGTTGTGGGGGGGTTGGTGTTGGGGGTTGGGTGTGTGGGTGGGGGGTGGGTTGGGTTTGGGTGGGGGGGGGGTTTGTGGGGTGTGGGGGGGGGTGGGTGGTTGTGTGGGTTGTGGGGGGTGGGGGGGGGGGGTGTGGTGGGGGGGGGGGTGGGTAGGTTGGGTTTGGGGGGGGGGGGGTGTGTGGTTTGGTGGGTTTTGGGTTGTTTGTTGGGTGGGGGTGGGTGGTGGGGGTGGGGGGGGGTGGGGTGGGGTGTGGGGGGTTGGGGGGTTTGTGGGTGGTGTGGGGGGGTTGTGTGGTTGTTTGTGGTTGGGGTGTTTGGGGGTGGTGGGGTGGTTTGTTTTGGGGGGTTGGGGGGGTTTGTGTGTTTGTTTGTGTGTGGTGTTGGGGGGGGGTGTGTGGGTTGTTTGTGTGTGTTGGGTTGGTGGTGTGTTTGGGGTGGGGGAGTGGTTTGGGGGGTGGGTTTGGGGTTGTGTTTTTGTGGTATTTTAAGGTTATTTGGGGTTTGGGGGGGTGTATTTGAGTGTATAGGGTATGGAGGGATTTATGATTTAGAATATGATTGATGGATAGTGGGGTTTGGTATGTGTGGGTTTGGTGGGGGGTGGTATTGTGATGAGTTGGTTGGGTTGGGTTGGATGGTGTATGTAGTTTGGGAGAGGGAGATGTTTTTGGGGTGTTGGTAGGGTGGGGGGGGGGGGGGGGGGGGGGTTTTGGGGTTAGGTAATTGGTTGGTAATTGTTTGATTGGATGTGGTAAGTTGTTTAGGGTTTGGTGTTATTGGTGTGTTAATTTGGTTTATTTGGTGGTATTTTGTAATGGTTGGTAATTTTTTGGTGTGGTGGGTATTTGGTGTGTTTGTTTGGTAATTTTGGTTATTTGGGTTTGGTTTTTGTGTGTTGTAAGTTGGGGTGTATTGGGGGTTGTGGTGTATGGGGGTTGGGTTTTGGTGGAATGTGGTGGGGGGGTTGTTTTGTTTTGTTGGGGGTTGGTTGGTTGGTTTTTTTTGTTATGTGTGTTTGGGGGGTTGGGTGGTTTGTGGGGTTTTTGTGTGTTTTTGGTGTTGTGGGTTTTGGGGTGGGTTATGTGTGTTTGTGGGGTTGGGGGTGTTTTTTGTTGTGTGGGGTGGTGTGTGGGTTTGGTTGTGTTGGTGGTTTTGGTTGTGTTATGGTGTGTGTTGTGATGGTTTGGGGGGGGTAGGGGATTGGTTGGAGGGTGGGGATGTTGGGTTGGTTGGGGGAGTGTTATGGGGTGTGATGTTTTGTTGGTGGGTGTTTGGGGGTTGGGTGGGGGTGGGGTGGGTTTGTGGGTGGTTGTGGGTGGGTGGTGGGTTTTGGGGGGGGTGTGGGTGGGGGTGTGGGTTGTGTTGGGGTTGGGGTGTTGTTGTTTGGGTTTGTGGATTGTGTGGGGGTTTTGGTTTGGGTGGGTTGGGTTTGTTGGTGGGATTTGTGGGGGGGGGGGTGGTTTTTGGTTGGGTGGGTGTTGGTGGGGTGGGGGGTTTTGGTAGGGGTGGTGTAATAGGGGGGGGGGGGGTAGGGGTAGGTTATTGGGTAGGTGGGTTTGTTGGGAGTGTGGTTGTATGTGTTGGTTTTTGGTGGTGGTAATTGGTGGTGTAATTTAGTGGTGGTGTATGGTAGGGTTGGGGGTGTTTTTTGGTGGGTTTTGGAGGGTGGGTATGGTGGTGGGTGGGTTTTAGGGGTGGGGTTTGTTGGTGGGGTTGGGTGGGTGGGGGGTTGGGTGGTTTGTGTGGTTGGGGTTTTGGTGGTGGGGGGGGGGGTGGGGTGTGGGGGGGGGGGGGGGGGTGGTGGGGGGGTGTTGGGGGTGGGGGGGTGGGGGGGGTGGGGTGTTTTTGGGGGTGGTGGGGTGGGGTGTGGGGGGGGGTTGTGGGTGGGGGGTTTTGGGGGGTTGGGTGGTGTGTGGGGGGGGTGGTGGTGTGTGGTGGGTTGTGGTTTTGGTGGGGGGTGTTGGGGGGTGTGTTTTTGGGGGGGTTGTTTGGTGGTTTTGGATGTTTTTGGGGTTTGGGGGGGGGGTGGGTGGTGGGGGTGGGTGGGTTGTGTGGGTTGGGGGGGGGTGGTATGTGTGTTGGTTGTGGGGGTGGGTGGGGGTGGTTGGTGTGGGGGGGGGTTGGTTGGGGGGGTGTGTGGGGGGGGGGGTGTTGGTGGGGGGGTGTGGGTGGGGGGGGTGGTGGGGGTGGGGGTTGTTTTTGGGGGGGGGTGTTGGGGTGGGGGGGGGGTTTGGGGGGGTGTGGGGGGGTGGTGTGTTTGGGGTGGTGGTGGGTGTGGGGGGTGGGGGTGGGGTTTTATGGGGTGGGGGGGGTGTGGGGGGGTGGGGGTTTGGGGGGGGTTGGGTGGGGGGGGGGGGTTGGGGTGGGTGGTGGGGGGGTTGGGGGGTTGGGGGGGGTTTTGGGGTGGGGGGGTTGGTTTAGGGTTGTGTGTGGATTGTGGTGTTGGGGTTGGGTGTTTGGGTGTGTTTGGGGTGTTTTGGGGGTGTGGTTGGGGTGTGGGTGGGTTTGTATTGGGGGGGGTGGGGGGGGGGGGGGGGGGGTTGGTTGTTGTTGGGGGTGGTTTTGGGTTGGGGTGTGAGGTGGTGTGTTTGGGTTTGGTGTTGTTTGGGGGGTTTGGGGTGGGGGGGTGGGGGGGGGTTGGATGGTTGGGGGGGGGGTATTTTGGGTGTTGGGTTTGTGGGTGTGTTGTTGGGGTGGTGGGGGTGGGGGGGGGGGGGGGGGTTGGGTGGTGGTGTGGGGGGGTGTGGTTGGGGGGGTGGGGGGGGGGGGGGGTGTGGGGGGGGTGGTGGGTTGGGTGGGGGGGAGTGTGGGGGGGGGGTGGGGTTTTTGGGTTGGTGGGTTTGTTTTTGTTGGGGGGGGGGGGGGTGGGGTGGGGGGGTTGGGGGGGTTGGGGGTGTGGGGGGGGTGGTGTGTTTTGGGGGGGGTTGGTGTTGTGTTGTGTTGTGTGGGGGGGTGTTGGTGGGGGTTTGGGGGTGGGGTTTTGGGTGTGGGTGTTTGTGTGGTTTGGGTTGGGGGGGGGGGGTATGGGGGGTGGGGTGGGTTTGGTGGGGGTGGTGTGGTGTGGGGGTTGTGGGGGGGTGGGTTGGGTGGGGTGTGGTTTGAGTGTGGTGGTTTGGTTTTTGGTTTGTTTTGTGGGGTTGGTTGTGGGTGGGGGGTGGGTGGGGTGTTGGGTTTTGGTGTGTGGGGTTTGTGGGTGGTGAGTGGGGGGGTGGGGTGTGGGGAGGGGTTTTGGGTGGGTGGGTTGGGTTTTTGGGGGGGGGGGGTGTGGGGTTGTGTTGTGGTTGTGGGGGGGGTGTTTGTGGGGGGTGGGGTTGGTGGGGGGGGGTGGGGGTGGGTGGTGTTTTGTTGGGGGTTGGGGTTGTTTGGGGTTTTGGGTGGGTGTTTTGTTGTGTGGGGGGTGTGGGTGTTGGGGGTGGTTGTGGTGTGGTGTGGGTGGTGGTGTTGGGGGGGGGGGGGGTTTGTGGGGGGGTGGTGGGGTTTGGTTGGGTGGGGGTGGGTGTGGTGTTGGGGGGGGGGGTGGGGGTGGGGGGGGGGTGTGTTTTGGTGGGTGGTGGGTGGTGGGGGGGGGGGGGGGGGGGGGGGGGGGTTTGGTGGGGGTGGTGTGGGTGTGTGGGGGGGGGGGGGGGGGGGTTGTTGGGTGGTTGGGTTTTTTTGTTTGGTGGGTGGTGTGGGTGGGGGGTGGTGGGTGTTGGGTTTGGGGTGTGTGGGGGTGTGGGGGGTGTGTGGGGGTGGTTGGGGTGGTGGGTTGTGTGTGTTGGGGTGTTGGGGTGGGGTGGGGGTTTGGGGTGTGGGGGTTGGGGGGTGGGGGGGGGGGTTGTGGGTGTTTGGTGTGTTGGGTGGGGGGGGGTTGGTGGGGGGTTGGGGGGGGTGGGGTTGTTGGTGGGGTGGGTGGGGGGGGGTTGGTGGTTTGTGGTTTTTGTGTGTTTGTTTTGTGTTTGGGGGGTGTGGGTGGTTGGGGGTGGTTGTGGTGTGGTTGGGTGGTGTTTGGGGGGGGGGGGGGGGTTTTGGGGGGGGGGGTTGGTGGGGTGTTGGTGGGTGGGGGTGGGTTGGTGTGGGTTGGGAGGGGGGGGGGGTGTGGGGGGGGGGTGGGGGGTTGGGTTTGGGGTGGTGTTGTGGTGGGGTGTGTTTTTGGGGGTTGGTGGTGGGTGTGTTTGGGGGGGTGGGTTTGGGAGGGTGGGTGTGGGGGTGGTGGGGTGTTGGTGGTGGGGGTGTGGTGTTGGGGGGTGGTGGGGTGGTGGGGGTTTGTGTGGTGGTGGTGGGGGTGTGTGGGGGGGTTGGTTGGGGTGTTTTTTGGGGTTGGGGGGGGGGGGGGGGGGGGGTGGGGGTTGGTGGGGGGTGGGTTTTGTGGGGTTTGTGGGGGGGGTGGGTGGGGGGGGGGGGGGGGGGTGGGGGGGGGGTTGGGGGTGGGGGTGGTTGGGTTGTTGGTGTGGGGTGGGGTGGGGGTTGGGGGGGTTGGGGTGGAGTTGGTGTTGTTTTTTTTTTGGGGGGGGGGGGGGTGGGGGGGGGGGGGGGGGGGGGGGGGGGGGGTGGTTTTGGGGGGTGTGTGTGTTTGGGGTGTGGTGTGGGGGGGGGGGGTTTTGGGTTGGGGGGGGGGGGGGGTGGGGTGGGGGTGGGTTGTTTGGGGGTGGTGGGTGGGGTGTGGGTGGGGGGGTGGGGGTGGGGGGTTGTGTGGTGGGGTGGGGGTTGTGGGTTGGGGGGGTGGGGTGGGTGTTGGTGTGGGTTGGGGGGGGGGGGGTGGGGGGGGGGGGGGGGTATGGTGTGGGTGGTGGGTGGTGTTGTTTGGGGGTTTTTTGTGAGATTAGGTATGTTTGTTGGGGGGGGGGGTTATTTTTGGTGGGGTGTGTAGTTATTGAATTTTGGGGGGGAAAGGGTGGAAATAATTATTGTTGGGGTTTTTTTTTAGATGTGGAGTAGATGAGGGGATAGAATGATGGGTTTTGTTGGGTTGGTGTTGTATATGGTGGGGTGTTTTGTTAGGGATTTTTTGTAGTTGGGGGTAGTTTGGGGGGTTTAGTGTGGGGTTGTGTTGTGGGGTTTGGTGGGGGGTAGGGGTGTGGGGGGTGGAGTTGGTAATGTTGGATGGTTTTTTTGTTTTGGGGGGGTGTGGGTGATTGTGTTTTGGTGGTTGTGGTTTGTTTGTTTTTGTGGGGGTGGTGGGGGGGGGGTTGTGGGGGGGGGGGGGGGTTGGGGGGGTGTGGGGGGTGTGGTGGGGGGGTTTGGGTTTTGGGGGTGGTGGGGGGTGTTGGGGGGGTGTGGGGGGGGGGGTGGGGTGGTTGTTGGGGGGGGGGGGGGGTGTGTTTTTTTGTGTGGGGTTGTTGGTGTGGGTTTTTTATAAGATGAAGGAGTATGCGATGGGGAGGGGTAAGATGGAAGGTGAGTATGAGATAAGGAGTATGGAAGATGGAAGGGGGGAGTATGTAAGATGATAGGGGATATAAGTTGTAGGAGTAGGGTAGATGAAGGGATTATAAGATTAAGTGGTGAGGAGGGAGATGGATGGAGTATAAGATGAAGAGAGTATAAGATGGGAAGGGAGTATAAATGAAGGGGAGTATGAAGATGGAAGGGTGTGTATGGAAGATGAAAGGTGAGTAGGAAGATGGAAGGAGTTATTGGAAGATATGAAGGGGAGTATAAGATGAAGGAGTAAAAAGATTGAAGGGGGTGAGTATGGAAGATGGAAGGGGAGTATGAATATGGAAGGGGGGGAGTATTGAAGAGGAAGGGGATTTATGAAGATGGAAGGGGGGAATATAAGAGGAGGGGGGGGTGAAGATGAAGGGTGAAGGGGGGGGGGGGGGTTGGGGGGGGGGATGGAATGGGGAGGGGGTGGGATGGGAGGGATGGGGGTTGATAGATTAGGGGGGTTGGAGGTGTATAGGGGAGGAAGTGTGGGTATAGTATTGTTGGTGTGGATTGGTAGGGGGATTGGGGGGGTAGGTTGGTGATGGGTTGGGTTGATGTAAGGGGTAATAGGAGGGAGGTTATAGGAAGAGGAGTTGATAGGGGTATGTTTTTTAGTGAGAGGGGTATTATAGGATGAGGGGTGGTTGGATTGGATGATGGGATATGTGGGAATTGGGGTTGGGGGGGTTTGGTTTGGTGTTGGTGGTGTGTGGTGAGTGAGTGGGTGTGTGAGGGGGAGTGTAGTGGTGTGTGAGTGGGGATGTGTGAGGGGTGAGAGTGAGGGGGGGTGATGTGTGGTTAGTTGGTGTGTGTGGTGGGGGTGTGTGTGTGGAGTGTGTGGTGTAGAGTGTGGGTATAGAGATTGAGAGAGAGGGGAGAGGGAGAGGGATGTTGAGAGGGGGGAAGAGAGAGAGGTGTGTGTAGGTTTGTGTGGTAGATGAGGAGTGTGTGAGGTGAGTGTGGAAGAGAGGGAGTAGAAGTTTGTGGGGGTGTGTGTGGGTTGTGTTGTGGGAAGGTGAGAGGGGGTGAGTGAGGTGTGTGTGGTGTGTGTGGGATGTGATGAGGGGGGGGATGAGAGAGGGGAGAGAAAGAGGAGAGAGAGAGGGGGATGTGAGTGGGAGTGAAGTGATGTGAGTTGGTGTGTGTGGGGGTTGGTGTGTGTGGTGTGTAGGTGTGTGTGGGGGTAGGTGTGGAGTGTGTTTTTGTGGGTGTAGTGGGGGGGTGGGGTGGGTTGTGGGGGGGTGTTTGGGGTGGGGGTGTGGGTTGGGGGGGGGGGTGTTGGGTTTTGTTATTGGTTTTGGGTTTGGGTTGGTGGTTTTTGGGTGGTGTGTGGTGGGTGGTGTAGGGGTTGTGTTTTGGGGTTTTGTGATGGTGTGGGGTGGGGTTGTGGGGGGTGGGGGTTGGGGGAGGTGTTTGTTGGGGGGGTGGGGTGTGGGGGGGTTGGGGTGGGTGGTGTGTGGGGTGGGGGGTTGTGTGGGTTGGGGGGTTTGTGGGGGGTGTATGTTTGGGGTTGGGGGGGTGTGGGGGGGGGGGGGTGGGGGGGGGTTGGGTTTGTGGGGGGGTTTGGGGGGGGGGGAGTGAGGGGGTTGTGGGGGGGGGGTGGGTGGTTGGGTTTTTTGTGTTTGTGTGTTTTTGTGGGTGTTTGTGTTTTAATTGATATATATATGGATTGTTTGTTTTGGGTTTGTGTGGTGTTTTTGTGTTGTGGGGGGGGGGGGGGGTTGGGATTGGGGTGTTTGGGGTTTTGGAGTGATGTGGTGGGGGGGGTTGGGGGTGGTGGGTTGGGGGGGTGTGGTGGGTGGTTGGGTGGGTGTGGGGGTGTGGGGGGGGGGGTGGTGGGGGGGGGGTGGGTTGGGGGGTGGGGGGGGTGGGGTGGGGGTTTGTAGTTGGGGGGTGGTGGGGGGAGTGGGGTGGGGTGTGTTGGTTTTTGTTTTTGTTTGTGGGGGTGTGGTTTGGTATGGGTTTGTGGGGGTTGGGGTGGGTGGTTTTTTGTTGGTGTTGTGTGGGTTTGGGGTGGTTGGTGGTGTGGTTGGTGGGGGGTGTGGTGGGTTGGGGGGGGGTTTGGTGTTATTTTTTGGGGTTGGAGTTGTGGGTGATTTTGTTGGGGGGGGATTAGGGTTGGGGTGTGGGGTTGTGATTGGGGGGTGGTGGGGGGGGGGTTGGGTGTTGTGGGTTGGTGGGGGTTAGTTGGGGGGTGGGGGTGTGGTTTGTTTGGGTGTTGGGTTGTGGGTGGTGTGTTGGGGGTGGGGGTTGGTGGGGGGGGGTGTGTGGGGTTGGTGTTGGGGGGGTGGTGGGTGTGGGTTGGTGTGGTTGTTGGTGGTTTGTTTGGGGGTTGGTGTTTTGGGTGGGGGGTTGTGTTGGGGGTTTTGTGGTGTGGGGGGTGGGGGGGGGGGGGTTGGGGGTGTGGGGTGGTTGGGGGGTGGGGTTGTTGTGGGTGTGGGGTGGGGGGGTGGGGTGGGGTGGGGTGGGTGGGGGTTGGTTGGGGGGGGGGTGGGTGGTGTGGGTGTTTGTTTGTGGTGGTGGTTGGTGGGGTGGGTTTTGGGGGGGTGGTTTTTGGGGTGGGGGGTTGGGGGGGTTTAGGTTGGGTGTTGTTGTGTTGTGGTTGGTGTGTGGTGGTGGGTGGGGGGGTTTGTGGGTTTGTGGTGGGGTTTGGGGGGGGTGGGTGGGGGTGTGTGGTTTTTGAGGGGTGTTGGGTTGGTGATTGTGTTTGGTAGTTGTGTAAGGGTGGTGTGGTGGTTTGGTGGGGGTTGTGGGGGTTTTGTTGGTTTGGTGGTGAGGGGTGTTGTTGGTTGTGGGTGGTTTGTGTTGGGGTGTTGGTGGGGTGTGTTGGGGGGGGGGGGTGTGGGGGTTGGTGGGGGGTATGGTAGTTTGTTGGGTTGTGTGTGGGTGTTGATGTTTTTTGGGTTTGGGTTTTGGAGGTTGGTGGGGGGGGTGTTTTTTTTTTGGTGTTTAGGTAATATGTGGTGATTGTGGGGTTTTGTGGGTGGGGTGGGGGGGGGGTTGTTTGTGGATTGATTATATTGATGTATTGGGGGGGGGGTGGAGATGGATTGTTGTTGAGAGGGTTAGGGGGGGATGGAAGGGGGTGGGAATTTTGGGGTGGAGGGGGGGGGTGGGGGTGGGGGGATGATGAGTGTATTATTGTTTTGGGGTGGGGGGGGGGGGGATGTTTGATTGGGTGATGAGAGTGATGTTGGAGTTTGTTTGGGGGGGGTTGTGTTTGGTAATGGTGGGGGTGTGGGGGTAGGGGAGGGAGTGTGTGTGTTTAGGTGTATTGGAGTTTGATTGATAGGGATTGTTGGAGTAAATGTTAGATTTTATTGTGGATGGTTTGGTTGATGTTTGGGGGTATTGGGGGGGTGGTTATTGGGGTTGGTGGGTTAGTATTAGATTGGATGTGGGGGGGGTGTGGTTGTGGGTGGAGGAGGAAAGGTGGTTTTTGGTTTTGGGGGATAGTTTATGGTGTATTATGTGGGTGGGGGTTAGGGTTTTGTGGGTTTTGGGGGGTGGGGGGGATATGGGTGTGTGGAGTTATTGAGGTGGGTATAGTGTTATGGGGGGGGAGTTTGGGGGGTTGGGGGTAGTGGGGGTGGGTATTGGGGGGGTTGTTTGGTGGTGGGGTGGTGGTTGTGGTGTTGGGGGTTGGGGGTTGGTTGGTTGGGTGGGTGGGTGTGGTGGTTTGGTGGGGGGGTGTGGTGTGGGGGTGTTTGGGGGGGGGTGTGGGGGTGGTTGGTGGGTGTTGGGGGTGGTGGGGTGGTGGGGTGGGGGGTTGGGGTTGGGGGTTGGTTTGGTTGGGTTTGGTTGGGGGATTATTGTTGTGTATGTGGTTGGGGGGTGTTGTTTGTTGGTTGGGTTTTTGGGGGGGGTGGGGGGGGTGGGTGGTTGTGTGTTGTTGTTTTTGTGTTTGGGGGGTTTGGTTGTGGTGGGAGGTTGGTGTGTGTGTGGTGGGGGGTGGGGGTTGGTGGGTTGTTGGGGTTGTTTGGGGTTTGGTATGTTTTTTTGGGGGTTGGTGGTTTGGTGTGGGGGTGTTTGGGGAGTGTTGGGGTGGATTGGTTTGTGGGGGGTGGTGTGGTGGGGGTTGTTGTGGTTTTGTTGTTGGGTTTGGGGGGTGGTGGGGGGGAGGTGGGGTGGGTGGGGTGGGGGGGGTTTTGTGGGTTTTGGGGGGGGGGGGGGTGGGTGTTGTGGGGGGATGTGTGTTGTTTGTGGGGTGTTTGTTTTGGTTTTGGGTTGGTGGAGGGAGGGTGGTTGGTTATTTTTATGTGGGTGGGGTTTTGGTGGGGGGTTTGTGTGTGTGGGTGGGTTTGTTTAGTGGTGTGGTGGGGGAGTGTGGGGGGGGGGTGTTTGGTGTGGGTGGGGTTTTTTGGTGTGTGGGTGTGGTGGTTGGGTGTTGTGGGTTGTTGTGGTTGGGGGGTTGTGTGTGTTGTTTGTTTGTTGGGGTTGTTGTTGGGGTTTGTTTTATTTTTGTTTTATGGTTGGGTTGGTGGGGTGGTGTGGGGGGGTGGGGGATGGGGGGGTGTTGTGGGTGGGGGGGTGGTGGGTTGTGGTGGGTTGGTTGGGGGGGGGGTGGGGGTGGGGGGGGGGGGGGGTGGTTGGGGTTTGGGGGTGGGGGGTGTGTGTTGGTTTGGGTGTGTGTTTGTGGGTGGGGGGGGATTTTTGGGGTGTGGGGGTGGGTGGTGGGGGTGGGGGGGGGGTGGGGGGGTGGTGGTGGGGGGGTGGGGTGGTTGTGGGGTGGTTTGGGGGTGTGGGTGGGGTGTGTTTGTGGTTTGTTTTTTTTTGGGTGGTGTGTGTGGTGTGGGTTTTTGGTGGGGGTTGGAGTGGGGGTTTTTGGGTGTAGGGTTGGGTGATGTATGGGGGTGGAGGTAGTTGGGTGTGTATTTTGTTGTTTTTTGGTAGTGTTTTTGGGTTTGGGGGTGTGTTGTGGGTGGTGGGTTGTTGGGGTGGTTGGGTTGTGTTGTGGTGTTGGTGTGGGTGTTTGGTGTGTTGTTGGTTTGTTGGATTGTTGGATGGTGTTGTTGTGGTGGGTGTGTGGGTGGGTGGTGGGGGGGGGGGGTGGGGGGTGGGTTTTGGTGTTGTTTGGTGGATGGGGTGGTGTGGTTGGGTGGGTTTGTGGGTGTGTTGGGGGGGGGGGGTGGGTGGGGGTGGTGGGTGGGGTTTTGGGTTAGGGGGGGGGTGGGGGTTTGGTGGTGTTTGTGGGGTTTGGGGGGGGGGTTTGGGGTTTGGGGTTGGGGGTTGGGGGTTTGGGGGTGGGTGTTTGGGGGTGTGGGTATTGGGTGGGGGGTAGGGGTTTGGGGGGGTTTTTGGGGGGGTTGTGGGTGGGGGGTTTGGGGTTGGGGGGTTGGGGTGGGTTGGGTGGTTGGGGGGGGGTTGGGGGGTTGGGGTTGTGGGGGTTGGGGGGGGGGGTTTGGTGGGGTTTGTGGTGTGGGTTGGGGGGTTGGGGGTTGTGGGGTTGGGGGTTGTGGTTGGGGGGGGGTTGGGGGGGTTGGGGGTTGGGGTGGTTGGGGGGTGTGTTGTGGTGGTTTGGGTTGGGTTGTGTGTGGTGGGTTTTGGTTGTGGTTGTTTTGTTGTGTGGTGTGTGGGGGGTTGGGTTTGTGTGGGTGGTTGTTGGGTTGTGGGGGGTGTGTTTTGGGGGTGTTGTGTTGTGTGGGTGTGGGTTTGGGTTGGTGGGGGGGGGGGTTGTGGTGGGTGGGTGTGGTGTGGGGTGGGGGTGGGGGGGTGGTGGTGGGGGTGTGGGTTGGTGTGGGGTGTGGGGGTGGTTGTGGGTTGGTGGTGTTGTGTGGTGGGGTTTGGTGGTGGGTTGTGGTGGGTTTGGTGTGGTTTTGTGGTGGGGTTGGTGGTGGGTTTTGTGTGGGGGTTGGTGGTGGGTTTGGTGTGGGGGGTTGGTGGTGGGGGGGGGTTGGTGTGGGGTTTGTGGTGGGTTTGTGGTGGGGTTTGGTGGTTGTTTGGTGGTGGGGTTGGTGTGGTTGGTGGGGTGGGTTTGGTGTGGGGTTTGGTGGTGGGTTTGTGGTGGGTTTTGTGGGTGGGGGTTGGTGTTAGTGTGGGTGGGGTTGGTGTGGGGGGGGGGTTGGGGGGGGGGGGGGGGGGTGGTGGGGGGGTGGTGTGGTGGGGGTGGGGGGGGGGTGGGGTTTTTGGGGGTGGTTGGGGTTTGGGGGGTTGGGGGTGTGGGGGTGTGGTGGGGGTTGTTGTTGGTAATGGTGTGTTGTGTGGGGGTGTTGTTGTGGTTGGTGGTGGGTTGGGGGGTGGGTTGTGGGGGGGTGTTGGGTGTGAGAGTTTGGTGTGTATGTGTGTGGTTGGTGGGGTTTGTTTTATAATTTTGGGGGATATGGGGGTGGGGTTTGGTGTTGGGGTGTGGTTTGTGTGTGGTTTTGGGGGTGGTGGGTTTGTGTTTGGGTGTGGGGTGGGGGTGGGGGTGGGTTGGTTGGGGGGTGTGTGGGGGTGGGGGGGGTGGGTTGTGGGGTTGGTGGGGGGGGGTGTTGGTGGTTTGGGGGTGGTGTGGGGGTGGGGGTTGTGTTTTGGGGGGGGGTGTGGTGAGTGGGGGGTTTGGGGGGGGGGTTGGGGTGGTGTGGGTTGGGGGGGGGGTGGTGTGGGGGTGTGGGTGGGTGGGGGGGGTGTTTGTGGGTTGGGGGGGTGGGTGGGGGGGGTGGGGGGGTGTTTGGGGTGTTGGTGGGGTGGTTGGGGGTGGGTGGTGGGGGGTGGTGGGTGTTGGGGGGGGGGTTTGGGTGGGGGTGGGTTGTGGGTGTTGTGTGTGTGGTGTTGGTGGTGTGGGGTGTTGGGGGTGGTGGGGGGGGGGGGGGGGGGGGGGGGGGGGGGGGGGGGGGGGGGGGGGGGGGGTTTTTTGTTGTGGGTTGGGTTTTGGGGTGTGTGTGGGGGTGTGGGTGGTTTTGTTGTTTGTGGTTTGTGGGTGGTGTGTGGGTTGATTGTATGATTGGGGTGGTTATGGGTGGTTAGGGTGGGGTGGGGTGGAGTTGTTTTGGTTATGTTGTTTTTTAGGTTGGTGTGTGTGTGGGTGTGGGGGATGGATAGGGTAGGTTGGTGGAGAAAATGGGTTATGGGAAATATGGGAGGGGGGGGTTATTTTGAGGTGTGGTGTGGTGTTGGGGTGGGGGGGGGGGGGGGGGGGGGAGGGGGTTGTTTAGTTTGGGTATATGAGGGTGGGGTTGGTTTGGGGGGTGTTTGGGTTTTAAGGGGGGTTATTTGTTTTGTTTTGGGGTGGGGGATGTGTGGGGTGGAATTTTGGGTTGGGTATGGGGATATTTAGATGAATGTTGGATGGTGGGTTGAGGGGGGGGGGGTGGTAATTGGGGGGGAAGTTTGTTGGGGGTGGGTGTTTGTTTTGGTATAATGGGGGGTTGTTTGGATGAGGTTTATATGGTGTGGGGGGTGTGGGGAGGGGGGGGTTGGAGGTTGGGGGGTTTATGGATATTTGGGTTTATTTTGGGATGGGGGAAATTGGGGAGGGGGGGGGGGGGTTTTGGGGTTTGGGGAAGTGGGGGGGATTTTTTTGGATATTGGAGGGTGTAGGAGTTTGGGGTAGAGGGGGGGATTATTGGGGTGGTTTGGGGGGGGGTGGGGGTGGTGAATTATAGGGAGTTGAGTTAATTTAAATGAAGGGAAAATTTAGGGATGAGATTTATTGGTGGTTGGGGTAGGGGTGATGTGTTGTTGGGAGGAATTTGGAAATGGGTATAAGTGTTAGTTTGGTTGTTTGGGTGGGGGGGGGGGGGGGTGTGTGTAGGGGGGGAGGGGATTTTAGTTGATGTAGGGGGGGGGATGGGGAATTGGGTGGGGGGGGGGGGGGGGGGTGGTGTAAGGATTTGGTAGGTTGATGGGGGGGGGGGGGGTGTTTGTGGGGGGTGGGTGGGGGTTGTGGGGGGGGGGTGTGGTGTGGGGGGTGGGTGGTGGGGGGGGTTTTGTGTTGGGTGTTTGGGGGGTGGTTGTGTGGGGGGTTGGGTGGTGTGTTTGTTGTGTGGGGGGTGTGGGGTGTTGGGGGTGGTTTGTGGTGTGGTGTGGGTGGTGGTGTTGGGGGGGGGGGGGGTTTGGTGGGGGGGTGGTTTTTTTTTTTTTTTTTTTTTGGGGTTTGTTGGGGTGGGGGGGGTGGTGTGGGTGTTGGTGGGGGGGGGGGTGGGGGGTGGGGGGGGGGTGTGTTGTGTGTGTGTGGGGGGGGGGGGGGTGGGGGGGGTTTGGTGGGGGGTTGTGTGGGTGTGGTGGTGGGGTGGGGGGGGGGGGGGTGGTGTTTGGGGTGGTTGGGTTTTTGTTTGTTTTTGTGGTGGTGTTGGTGGGGGGGGGGGTGGGTGGGTTTTGGGTTTGGGGTGTTGGGGTTGGGGGTGGTGTGGGGGTGGTTGTGGGGGTGTGGGTGGTGATTGGGGGTGTGTTGGTTTGGTGGGGGTGGGGGTTTGGGTGTGTGTGTGTGGTTTGGTTGTTGGGGTGGGTTGGGGGTTTGTTTTTGTTGGGGTTTGTATGTTGGGGTGGGGTGTGGGTGGGTGGTTGGGGTTGTTGGGGGGGGTTAGTGTGTTTTGGTGGGGGGGGGGGGTTGGGTGGTGTGGTTGTGGGTGTTTGGTTGTGTTGTTTTTTTGTTTGTGGGTGTGGGTGGTTGGGGGTGGGTTGTGTGTTGTGTTTGGTGGTGTGGGGGGGGGGGGGGGGGTTTGTGGGGGGGGGTGGTTGGTGTGGTGGGGTGGGGGGGTGGGGGTGTGGGGTTGTTGGGGGGGGTGGTGGTGGTGGGGGGGGGGTTTGGTTTGGGGGTGGTGTTGTGGTGGGGTGTGTTGGTTGGGTTGGGGTGGTGGTGGGTGTTTGTTGGGGGTGGGTTTGGGTGGGGTGGGGTGTGGGGGGTTTGGGGGGTGTGTGGGTGGGGGGTGGGGGGTGTGGTGGTGGGGGGGTGGTGGGGTGTGGGGTTGTGTGGGTGGTGGTGGGGGTGTGGGGGGGGGGGTTTTGTGTGGGGTGTGGTTTTTTTGGGTGGGGGGGGGGGGGGGGGGGGGGGGTGGGGTTGGTGGGTGGGTTGTGTGTGGGGTTTGTGGGGGGGGTGGGTGGGGGGGGGGGGGGGGGGGTGGGGGGGGTGGGTTGGGGGGTGGGGTGGTTGGGGTGGGTTGTATGTGGGTTGGGTGGGGGGGTTGTGGGTTGGAGTGGGGGTGTGTGTGGGTGTTGATTTTTTGGGTTTGGGGTGGGGGGGGGGGGGGTGGGTGGGGGGGGGGGGGGGGGGGGGGGGGGTGGTGTTGGGGGGGTTGTTGTGTGGGTGGGTGGTGGGGGGGGTTGGTGGGGGGGGGGGGGGGGGGGGGGGGGGGTTGGGTGTTTGGGGGTGGTGGGGTGGGGGGTGTGGGGGGGGGTGGGGGGGGGTGGTGGTGTGTGTTGTGGGGGGTGGGGGTTTGGGGGTGGGGGTGGGGGTGGGTGTTTGTGGGGTTGGGGGGGTTTTGGGGGGGGGGGGGGGGGTTGGGGTGTGGGTGGGGGGGGGGGTGGGTTGTTGGTTTGGTGGTGTTGTTGGTGGTGGGTTTTTTTGTTGGGTGTTGTTTTGTTTGTTGGGGTAATGGGGGTATTATTTTTTGGTTTGGGGGGGGGGTGGTTATTGTGGGTTGTTGTTTTTGGTTTGGGTTGGTTGTGGGTGTGGGTGTTTGTGTGTGTGTTGGTTTTGGGGTTTTGTTTGTGTTGGGGGTGAGTTTGGGTGTTGGGTGGTTTGGGGTGTTGGGGTTTGGTGGGGGGGGGGGGGGGTGGGTGTGGTGGGTTGTGGGGGTGGGTGTGGGTGTGGTGTAGTTTTTGTGTTTGGGGGGGGGTGGGTGGGGGTGTTGTGTTTTGGTGGGTGTGTTTTGTATTTGTGGGTGGTTGGTTGGGGGGGGGGGTGTGTGGGTGGGGTGGGGGGGGGTGGGTGGGGGGGGGGTGGGGGTTGGGTGGGGGGGTGGTAGGGGTGTTTGGGGGGTTGGGGGGGGTTGGTTGGTGGGGGGGGGGGGGGGGGGGGGGTGGTGGGTGGTGTGGGGGGGGTGGGGGGAGGTGGGGGGTGTGGTTTTGTTGTTGGTGGTGGTGTGTGGGTAGTGGTTGTGTGTTGGTGTGGTGGAGTGTGGTTTGGTTTGGTTGGTGTGTTGTTAGTGGTTTTTTGTGTTGGTGTTGTTGTGGTTTTGGTTTGTGTATTGGTTGGGGGGTGTTGTGATGGTTGGTGTGTTTTGTTGGTGGTTTTGTGGGTTGGTGTTTTTGTTGGTGGTGTGGGTTGTGGGTTGGGGGTGTTGAAGTTGGGGGGGGGGGAAGGTGAGTATAATTTGGAAGGAGGATGTAGATGGTTGGGTGTTATAAGATGAAGTGGGGGAGTTTTTATATGTGGTTGGTGTTTTGATGGGATAGGAGGTTTTTGGTAGGGGGGGTATAAGATGGTTGGTGTTGTTGTGGGTAAGGGTGGTGTTGTGGTGGGGGGGTTGTGGTAGGGTTGGGGGGGGGGGGTGGGGTTTGGGGGTGGGGTGGTTGTTGGTTGGTTGTTGTGGGGGGGGGGTGGGGGTTGTTGAGTGGGGGGGGGTGGGTGGGGGGGGGGTTGGGGGGGTGTGGGGGGTTTTGTGGGTGTGGTTTGGGGGGTTGGTGGTTTGGTTGTGGTGGTGGTTTGTTGTTGGTGGGGTGGTGTGTTTTGGGTGTGGGTGTGTTGGGTTTTGTGGGGGGTGGGTGGGTGGTGTGGGTTGTTGGGGGGTGGGGTTGGGGGGGTTGTGTGTGGGTGTGTGTGTGTGTTGTGTGGTGTTTTGTGGTGAGTTGAGGTTTGTGTGGTTGTAGTGTGGTGTGTGTGTGGTGTGTGTTGGGTGAGTGGTGTGTGATGTGGTTGGTGTGGTGTGTGTGTGGTTGTGTGTGGGTGTGTGTGGTGTGGGTTGGTTTGTTGTGTGTGTGATGGTGTTTGTGGGTGTGTTGGGTTGTTGGGGTTGTTGTGGTGTGTGTGGTGGTGTTGGGGTGTGTTGTGGGGTGTGTGTGGTTGTGTTGTGGGGTTGTTGTGTGTGTGTGGTGTTTGGGTGTGGTTGTGGGTGTTTGGTTAGTGTGTGGTGAGTGTTGGGTGTGTGAGTGGAGTGTGTGGTGTGTTGTGGTGTGTTGTGTGGTGTGTGTGGGGTGTGTGTGGTGTGTGAGGTGTGATGTGGGGGTTGTAGAGGGGGTGTTTTTTTGATAGTTGGAAGTTGTGTTGGGTGGTTTTGTTTTGGGGGGGGTGGGGTATTTTGGTAGGTGGTGGGTTGTGAGTTGTTAGGGGGTATAAGTATTATTTATAATTGGTATTGTGGTGTTGGGGGGATAGGTGGGGGTTGGGGTGTGGATAGGGAGGGGTGGAGGTGGGATTAATGGGGTTGGTGGGGGGTTGTGAGTTTTGGGGGGGGGTTAGAGGGGAGTTTGGGGGAATAGGGGTGGTTGGGGGAGAGTGGGGTTTGTTGGTGGTTGGTGGTGGGGGTGGGGTGGGTGGGTGTGGGGTAGTTTGGGTGGTGGGTTTTTGGGGTGGTTGTATGGGTGGGGGGGTGTTTGGGGGGGTGGTGGGGGGGTGGGGTAGGGGGGGGGGTATGTGGGTTGGGTTGTGGGGGGGGGGGGTTTGGTGGGGTGGGGTGTGGGGGGGGGGGTGTGTGGGGTTTTGTGTTGTTGTTGTTTTTTGTGTGGTGTGTGTGTTTGTGTATTTGATATAGTTTTGGGTTTTAGTTAGTTTTTTGGGATTTTTTATTGGGTGTTTTTGGTAGTGGGGGGGGTGAAGGGGGTAAGGGGGTTGATGGGATTTGTGTAAGGTTGTTATGTGAGGGGGGGTTAGGGATAGATAGGGTGTTGTATTTTTGTTTGTGGTTGTTTGTTGGTGTGGGGTGTGGTGGGGGGGGGGGGGGGGGGGGGATATGGGGGGGTTGTGAGGGGGGGGGAGGGGGGGGGTGGGGGGGGGTGTATTGTTGGGTAGGGGTGGTGGAGGTGGGTTGGTTGTTTTGGGTTGTTTTTGGTTGATTTGTGTGGTTATGTTTGGGTTGTGGGGGGTGGGTGGGTGTATGTTTTAGGTATTAGTTTGGAGGGTATATGAGGGTGTGGTTGGTGTGGTGTTTGGTGTGGGGGTGTTGGGGTTGTGTGGGGGTTTTTTTTAGGAGGGTTGATTTATAGTTGGTGTGGGGTTTGGTTTGTTGTGTTTTGGGGGGGGGTGGTGGGGTGGGTGGTGTTTGGGTTGGTGGTATTGGTAGGGGGGGGTGTTGAGTGGAGTGTGTTTGGTAGTTGGTGGGGTGTGTGGGGTTTGTTGGTGTTTGGGTGTATTGGTGGGGTGTGGGGTGGGGGGTTTGGTTTGTGGGGGGTGGGGGGGGTGTGTGGTTGGGTGGGGTTTGTGGGTGGGTTTGAGTATGGGTTGGTTGGTTTTGGGGTGGGGGGGGGTTTTGTTGGGTTTTTGTGGGTGTGGGTGGGGTTGGGGGTGGGTGGTTTTTGGGGTGTGGGGTTGGTGTGGTGTGGGTGGGGGGGTGTGTGGGGTTTGTGTGGTGTAGGGTGGTGGGGGGGGGTGGTTTGTGGGAGTTGGTTTTATTTGGTGGGGGGGTGGTTTGAGTGGTGGTTTTGGGGGGGGTTTTATTGGGGTGGTGGGGGGTGGGGGTTTTGGTTTGGTGGGTGTAGTTGTTTGTTTGTTGGTGGGTTGGTGGGTGTGGGTTGTTTTTGGGTTTTTGGTGGGGGTTTTGGGGGGGTTTGGTGGGTTGGGTGTTTTTGTGGGGGTGTTGGGGGGGGTTGGTTTGGTGGGGGGGTGGGGTGTTTGAGTGGTGGAGGTGGGGGTGGGGTGGGTTGTGTGGGGGGGGGTTGTGTTGTTTGTGGTGGGGGGGGGGGGTGGGTTGTGATTTTGGGGTTTGTTGTATGGGTTTATTGTGGGTTGGTTGTTTGTGGTGGGGGGGTGTGGGTGGGGTGTGGTTTGTGTGTGGTTGGTTGGGTGTGTTTGGTGTTGATGGTGTTTGGTTTGGGGGGGGTTGTGGGGGTGGTTTGGGTGGTGTTTTGGGGGTGTTTGTGGTTTGTTGTGGGTGTGGGGTTTTTGGGTGGGGGGGGGGGGGGTGGGGGGTTGTGTGTGGGTGTTGGGGGGGTGTGGTGGGGGGTTGTGTGGTGTGGGTTGGGGTTTGGGTGTGGGGGGGGGGGGTTGTGGTGGGATTATATATGTAGGTTGATTTTGTTTTGGGTTGTTGTTGTTTATTATTATGGGGGTTGTTTGTTGTTGGGTTGGGTGGGGGATGTTGTGGGGGGGGGGGGTGGGTGGGGGGTTTTTTTTGTTGGTATGTTTGAATTGTAGGAATGTTTTTTGGGTATGTGGTATGTTTGGATTGTGGTATGGGGTTGGTAGATTTTTGTGTTGGGGGGGGGGTTAGTGGGTGGTGTTTAAGAATTATTAAGGAGGAGGGGGGGGGTGTTTGGGGGTAGGGAGGGGGGGGAGGAGGAGGGGGAAGTAGTAAAAAGATTATTTGGGTTTTAGAATAAGATGTAATGATAGTGGGTAGGTAATGATGGGATATGTGGGTGGGGTGGGAGTAAGTTGTGGGTTTTTTAGTTTGTTGGGTTTTTAGGGAGGTGGATGGGGGGGGGAGTTTAGGGGGGGTTGGGGGGGTAGAGGGGGGTGATGGTGTGGTTTGAGGGTTTTGGGTTGGTGGGTGGGATTTTTGAATAGGTTATATGGGTAAGGTTTTTTAGGGGGTAATTGAGGTATGGGAGAGGGTAGGGGGGGGAAATTAGGGTGGTTTTTGAGGGGGGATATGGGATTTAGAGGGTTTGGTTGGGGTTTTTTGTTTGGGGGTATGGTGGGGGTAGTTGGGTTGGGGTGGAGGTGGTTGGGGGTGGTGTTTTGTTTGGGAATGAGAGTTATGTTTTAGGGTGGTGGGTTTAATAGATGTTATTTTTGTTGGGGTTGTGTTTGGTAAGGTATTTTGTTGGGGGGGTGTTGTTGAGGGGGGGATGTGTTGTTTTTGTGTGGTGTTGATTTGGGGTGTAGGGGGGGGTGTTTGATGTTTGTGTTTTGGTTGGTGGTATGTAGGGGAATTAGGGTAAGGAAGGTATGGAGATGAATATGATGGTGGTATGGTAGTATTGTGGGGGTTATAGGGTGGATGATTTTTGATATTTGGGGGGGGGGGGTGGAATGGGGGGTATGGTGGGTTGGTAGGGGTTGGATTTGTTTTGGGGGAGAGTATGTGTATTGGGTATGGTGGTTGGAGGTTGGTGGTTTGTGTGGTGGGGGGGGGGTTATTGTTTGGGGATTGGTGGGGGTGGGGGAGGTATGGGGGGGTGGGATGTGTGTGTGTTGAGTTAGTTAGGGGTTGGTGGTTTTTGTGGTTTTTTGTTGGTTAAGGTATTGTATTGTGTTTTTGGGGGGTGGGGGGAGGGGGGGGTATAAAGGGAGGGGTTGGTATTGGGGGGGGTGTATGGAATGGTGGGGGGGAGGGGGGTTGTTATTGGGTGGGGTGGGGAGGTTTGGGGTGGAGTGAAAGTGTTAGGGTTGTTTGAATGGGGGAGGATGAGTGGGGGGTGTGGGATGGGGGTGGTTGTAATGTATAAGGATGTATGTAGGGTTTGGGAAGGGGTTGGGGGAAGATAGGGAAGGGAAGGGAAGGAAGGATGGGGAAGGGGGAAGGATGTTGAAGATAATTGTTAGGTGGGTATTGAGGGTTTGGGGGGGGGATGGTTTGGAGTTGATTTTTGGGATTGAGTGGATTTTTTTTTGAGTTTTGTTTTGGAAGGGTGTTTGGGGGGGGGGGTGGGGTAGGGGGTGGGTGGTGTTGATTATGGTGTTGGTGGTGTGGGGGTTGTTTTGGTGGGTTTTGGTGTGGTTTGTTTGGGTGGGTTTGGGGGTGGGTGGGGGTGGGGGGGGGTGGGGGGTGGGGTGGGGTGGGGGGGGGGTGGGGGGGGGTTGATTTTGTGTGAGTATGTTTTGTGGTGTTGTTTTGTGTGTGTATATTTGTTGTTTTTTTGGGGTGGTGGGGGTGGGGGGTTTTATTTGATGGGTTTTTGTGGGGTGTTTTGTGTGTTTGTTTGTGGGGTGTGGGGGGGGTGGGGTTGGGGGTTGTTTTGTTGTTGGGTGTGTGTGTTTTGTGGAGGGGGGGTGGTGGTGGGGGGTGTTTGGGGGTTTGTTTTGTGGTTTTTGGTGTGTGGGTGGGTGGTTTGGGTGTGTTGTTGTTTTGTTGGTATGTTTTGTGTGGTGTTGTGGTGGTGGTGTTGTTTGGTTTATGGGTTTGGGGGGGGGGGGGTGGGGTGATTGAGTTATTGTGGGTTTAAGGGTATTTTATGGGGGGTGTTATGTATTAGGAGTAGGGAGATTATTTTTGGGGTTTTTGGGTGGGGGGGGGGGGTTATGTGTAATATTTTGGTTTGTGGGGGTGATTGGTGGGTTATTGGGGTGTTAGTTATTGTGGTTTATTTTGGGTGGTATTGGGGTGTTTTTGGGGGTGGGTTTGTGGTTGGTGAGGTGTGGTGGGGTTTTGTGGTTGTGGGGTGTGGGGTTATTTTGTTGGGGTTGGTGGTTTTGGGGGTGGGGGGTTGTGTTGTTTTTGTGGTTTGTTTGTTTTGTGGTTGGGGGTGTAGTGGGTTTTGTGTTGTTGGGTTGGTTTTTTTTGAAGTTGGGTGGGGGGGGGGGGGTGTTTTTGGGTGTGGGGGATGTGTGGAAGTTTGTTTTTTGGTGGTGGGGGTGGGTTTTGGGGTTTGGGGTAAGGTTGGTGGTTGGTTGTGGGGGTTTTGTGGGGTTTTGTTTTATTGTGGGGTTAGTTGTGTGTGTGAGGGTGGGGTGTGTGTTTATGGGTTGAGAGTTGAGTTTTTTGGTAGAGGTAAGGAGGGGTTTGGGGAGGATGAGAGGGGATATAGGGGGATAGGGAAGATTGAGGATTGGATTTGGGGGTGATGGTTGGGGGTTGGATTTGGGGGGGGGGTTTTGGTAGTTGGGTGTGTTTTTTGTGGGGAGGGGGAGTTTGAGTGGGTTTGGTTGGGGGGGGGGGTGTGGAGTGTTGTGGTGGGTTTGGAGGTGTTTATGGTTTTGGGGTGTTTGTTGGTGGGGTTGTGGTTTGGGTTTTTTGGGTTGGGTTTTTGTTTTGTTGTTTGGTGTAGGGGTTGGGGGTGGGTGTATATTGAGTGGGTGGTGGTTTTTGGAGGGGGGGGGAGGGGGGTTTTTGTTGTGGAGGTTTTTGTGGTGGTTTATTTTGTGGTGGTGGGTTTGGTGGGGGGTGGGGTTTATGTGGTGGGGGTTTTTGGGGGTGGGGTTGTTGGTGGGGTTGGTGTGGGGGTTTTGGGGTGGGGTTTGGGGGGTGGTGGTTTGTGTGGGTTTGTGGTGGGTTTGGTGTGTGGGGTTGGTGGGGGGTGGGTTTGGTGTGTGGGGGTTTTTGTTGGTGGGGTTTTGTGGGGGGGTAGTTTATTGGTTGGGTGGTTTTTGTGGGGTGGGGGGGGTTGGGTGTTTTTTGTGGGTTGGGGGGGGGGGTTTGGTGGGGGTGGGGGGGGGGATGGGTTGTGGGGGGGGGGGGGGGGTGTTGAGGGGGTGGGTGGGGTGGGGGAGGGGGGGGGGGGGTGGGGGTGGTGTTTTGGGGTGGTTGGGTGGGGGGTGGGGGGGGTTGTTGTGGGTGATTTTGGTGGTGGTGGTGGTTGTGGGGTTTGGGGTGGTGGGTGGTGGGTGGGGGGGGGTTTGGGGGGGGTTTTGGGGGGGGTGTTTGTGTTGGGTGTTGTGTTGGGTGGTGTGGGGTTGTATTGGGGTTGGGGGGGGGGGGTTTTGTGTGGGGGGTTTGGTGGGTGGGGTTGTTGGTTGTTGGGTTGGGGGGGGGTGGTTTGGGTGTTGGGTTGTTGGGGGTGGTGGGGGGGGTGGTTGGTGGGGGGGTTGGGTGGGGGGGTGTGTGGGGGGGGGGGTGTTGTTGGGTGTGGGGTGGGGGTGTTGGGGTGGGGGTTGTGTGTTTGGGGGGGGGGGGGGGGTGTTTGTGTGTGGGGGGGGTTTGGGGGGGGGTTGGGGTGGGGTGTGGTTGGGGGTGGGGTGGTGGTGGGGGGTGGTGGGTGGGGGGGGGGGGGGGGTGTTTGGGGGGTGGGGGGGGTTGGGGGGGGGTGGGTTGGGGGGTGGGGTGGGGGGGGGGGGGGTGGGGTGGTGGGGGGGGGTGGTGGGGGTTGGGGGGGTTGTGGTGGGGTGGTTGTGGTTGGGGTGGTGGTGGTGGGTGTGGGGGGTGGTGGGTTTGGGTGTGTGTGGGTTGGGTTTTGGTTTTTGGTGTGTGTGGGGGTGTGGTTGGTTGTGTTTGGGGTTGGGGGGGTGTGGGGGTGGGTTGTTGTTTGTTGGGGGTGTTTTGGGGTTGGGTGGTGGGGTGTGGGGGTTTTTGGGTTGTTGGTTGTTTGGGGTGTGGGGGGGGGTTGGGTTGGTGGTGGGGTTTTTTGGGGTTGGTTTGATGGGGTGTGGTGGGTGGGGTGGGGGGGGGGGGGGGGGGGTGGGGTGGTGTTGTGGGTTGGGTGGTGGGGTTGGGGGGGGGGGGGGGTGGGGGGGTGGGGGGGGGTGGGGGGTGTGGGGGGGGTTTTTGGGTGGGTGGTGTTGGTGTGTTTGGGGTGGGGTGGTGGGGTGGGTTGGGGGGTTGGTGTGGGTGGGGGGGGGGAGTGGGGGGGTGGGTGTTGGGGGTGTTTTGTGTGGGGGGGGGGGGGTGTGGGTGGGGGGGGGGGGGGGTTGGGGGGTTTTTGGTGGGGGTTGTGTAGTGGTGGGGTGGGGGTGGGGGGGTTGTGGGGGTGGTTGGTGGGTATTTGTGGGTGTTGTGTGGGGGGTTTTGGTTGTTTGTGGGGTGGGGTTGGGGTTGTTGTGGATTTGGTTTTGTGTGTTGTTATAGTTGGTTTGTTTGGGTGGGTAGTGGGTTGTGGTGTGTTGGGTGTATGGGGGTTGGTGGTTAGTGGGGGGTTTGGGGTTGGTGTGTTTTAGGGGGGGGGTGGGGGGGTGGGGGGTGGGTAGGGGTGGGGGTTTTTTTTTGGGTGGGGGGGTGGGGGGGGGGGGTAATTTTGTGGGGGTGGGGGGGTGGTGGGGGTGTTTGGTTTTGGTGGTTTTTGGGGGGGGGTGTTTGGAGGGGGGGGGTTGGAGGGTGTTGTTTGGGGGGGGGGGGAGTGGTGTGGGTGGGTGTGTTTTTGGTTTGGGTGGTTGTTGGGGGGGGTTGGGGTGTTTGGGGGGGGTTTGGGGGTGTTGTGTTTGTTGTTTGGGGGGGTTGGGTGTTGGGGGGGGGTGGGGTTTGGTGTGTGTGGGTGGTTGGTGTTGGGGGGGGGGGGGGGGGGTTTGTGGGGGGGGGGTTGGGGGGTGGGGTTTGGTTGGGGTTGGTGTTGGTGGGGTTTGGGTTTGGGGGGGGGTGTGGGGTGTGGGGGGGGGTGTGTTTTTGGTGTGTGTGGGGGGGGGTGGTTTGGGTGGGTTTTGTGGGGTTGGGTTTGGTTGTGGGGGTTGTTTGGGGGGGGTTGGGGGGGTTGGGTTGTTTTGGTGTGGGGTGGTTGGGATTTTTTTGTTGGGTGGTTGTGTGTGTGTTGGTGGATGGTGGGTGTTGGGTTTGGGTGTGTGGGGGTTGTGGTGTGGTGTGGGGGGGGGTGTTGGGGTGGTGGGTGGTGTATTGTTGTTGTTGTTGGGGGGGGGGGGGGGTGGGGGGGGTTGGGGTGTGGGGGGTTGGTGGGGTTGGGGGGGGGGGTTGTGTTTGTTGGGTGTTTTGGTGGGGGGGTTGTGGGGGGGTTGGGGGTGGGTGGGGGTTGTGGGTGGGTTGGGGGGGGGGGTGTGTTTTGTTTGTGGTGTTTGGGTTGTGTTGGTTTGTTGTGTGGGGGGGTGTTGGTGGGTTGGGGGGTGGGGTTGTGGGGGGGGTTGTGGTGAGGGTTGTGTGTTGGGGGGGGTGGGGGGGTTGTGGGGGGTGGGGGGGTTGGGGTTGGTGTTGTTGGGTTTGGGGGGGTGGGGTGGTTTGTGTTGGTGGGGGGTGGGGGTGGGGGGGGTTGGGTTGTGAGGGGGGGTGTGGTGTTGTGTAGTGTGTGTTGGTTGGGGGTTGGGGGGGTGGTGGGGTGTGTGTGTGGGGGGGTGGTTTGGGTGGGGTGGGTTGGGTGGGGGGGTGGTGGGGGGTGTGTTTGGGTGGGTGGGGGGTGGTGGTGGGTGGGGGTGTGGGGGGGTTTGTGGGGGTTGTTTGGGGGTGGTGGTGGGGGGTGTGTGGGGGGGGGGGGGGTTGGGTGGGGGGGTTTTTTTTGGGGTGGGGGGGGGGGGGGGGGGGGGGGGGGGGTTGGTGGGGGGTGGGTTGTGGTGTGGGGGGTTTGTGGGGGGGGGTGGGTGGGTGGGGGTTGGGGGGGGGTGGGTGGGGGGGGGGGGGGGGGGGGGGGTTTTGTGGGGGTGGGGGGGTGGTTGTGTTGGGTTTTTTTGGTGGGGGTGGTGTGTGGGGGGGGGTGGTGTGGGGGTGGGTGTGTGGTTGTTGGTTTTTTTGTTTGGGTGGGGGGGGGGGGTGGGGGGGGGGGGGGGGTGGGGGTGTTGTGGGGTGGGGGGGGGTTTGTTTGTGTGGGTGGGTGGGTGGGGGGGGGGGTTGGTGGGGGGGGGGGGGGGGGGGTGGTGGGGGGGTGGTGTTTGTGTTGGGGGTGGTTGGTGGGTGTGGGGGGGGGGGTGGGGGGGGGGGTGGGGGTGTGTGTGGTGTGGGGGGTGGGTGGTTTGTGGGGGGTGGGGGGTGGGTTGGTGTTTTGGGGGTGGGGGGGGGGGGGTGGGGGGGGGGGGGGGGGGGGGGTTTGGGGTGTGGTTGGGGGGGGGGGTGTGGTGTTTGGGTGTTTTGGTGGGTGGTGTTGGGTGGGGTGTTTGTTTGTTGGGATTGGGTTTGTTTGTGGGGGGGGGGGGGGTTGGTGGTGGTGTGTTGTGTTGGTTGGGTGGGGTGGGTGGTGGTGGGGATGTTTTGGGTGGGGTGGTTGGGTGTTGTGGGGGTTTTTTGGGTTGTGGGGGGGGGGGGGGTTGGGTGTTTGTGGGGTTATTGTTGTGGGGGGGGTGTGTTGAGTGTGGGGTATGGGGGGTGTTGGTTGTTGAGGGTTGAATATGTTGTTTGGGGGTGGGTGTGGGTGTATTGGTTTTGTTGGGGTGGGTTTTTGTTAAATAGGGGGGGGTTTTTGATGGGGGGGGGTGGGGATTGTGGGGTTGGGGTTTGTTGGGGGGTTGGTGGGTGGGTGGTGGGGGGGGGTAATGGTTGTTGGTTGGATATGGGGGAAGATTGGTGTGGGATGGTTGGGTTGGTGGAGTTGATGGTGGGTGTTGGGTGGGGGTGTGGGGGGGGGGGTTGTTGTTGTTGTGTGAGTGGGGGTTGAGGGTTTTTTATAAGATGGTAAGGGGAGTATGTAGATGGGAGGGGGGGGGGGTAAGTTGGAAGGGTGAGTATGGAGTGGAAGGTGGTGTATGTGTTGTAGTTTTATTGTGGTAAGGGTGTGTTGTTGTTGTGGTGGTGTAATTGATTAGGGTTGATGTTGTTGATGGTGTGGTTTGGGTGTGGTTTTGTTTTTTGTTGTAGGTGTTTGGTATGATGTATGTGTTTAGAGGGTTTGGTGTTAATGTGGTTGGGTGTTTGTTTTGTTGGGTGGTTTGTGTTGGTAGGTTAGTTTGTTGGTGTAGTATGATGTTGGTGGTTTTGTTGTAGGGAAGTAGGTTGTGGTTTGGTGTTTTTGTGTAGGTGTTTTTGTGGTTGGTGTTTTTGTTGTTTGGGTGTTGTTGTGGTGGTGTTGTTGGTGTTGGGGGGGGGGGGGGGGGGGTGGTTTGGGGTGGGGGGTGTGTGGTGGGGGTTTTTTGTGGGGGTGGGTGTTTTTTGGTGGTGTGGGGGTGTTGGTGGGTTGGTGGGGGTTGGAGATGGGGGGGTTTTGTGGTTGGTTGTGTTTTTGGTGGGGGGTTATTGGTGGGGTGGGGTTTGGTGTTTGGTTGGTGGTGGGTGTGGGTATGTTGGGGTTGATTGGGGTGGGGGGTTGGGTGTAAGTGGGGGTGGTTGGGGGGGGATTGTGGTATGGGGGGATATGTTTGTATGGGTGGTGTTGTATATTGTGTGGTGGGGTTGAGTGTGGTGTGTGTGTGGGTTGTTGGTGTTGTGTTGGGGAGAGAGAGAGGGGTTGAGTGTGAGAGAGTGGGTGAGTGTGAGGGGAGATGAGAGGATGTTGGTATGTAGTGGGGGGTGTGAGTGTGGTTGTGTTGGAGATGTAGAGAGGGGTGTAGTAGATGTTTGTGTGGTGTGGGTGTGGTGTGTGTGTGGTGTTGTGTGGGAGTGTTGGGGGTTGTGTGGTGTGTGTGGTGTGTGTGTGGTGTTGTGGTGTGTTGGTGGTGTATGTGTGTGGTGTTGTGTTGGTTGTGTGTGTGGTTATGTGGTGTTGTGGTGTGTGTGGTGTTTAGGGTAAAAGAGGGGGTGTAAGTAGTGGGAGAGTGAGGATGAGAGATGGGGAGTGAGAGGGATTGTGTGATGGGGGGTGTGTGAGGAGTAGTGTGGGTTGATGAGGTTGTTTGGAGTGAGTGGTAAGAAAAGGGGGTGTATTTGTGTTATGTGTTTGTATTTGGTGTTTGGGTGGGTTGGTTTTAGGGTGGGAGAAAGGGAGGGGTTTGGTATGTGGGGGGGAGTAGGGGAAAATGTATATTTATTTGGGGTTTTGGGTGTGGGTGTTGTTGGTGTGGTGTTGGGTGGGTGGTGGGGGGGTGGGGGATGGGGGTGGGGGTTGTGTGATTTGGGTGGTTGAGGTGGGGAGTTTGGGGTGGGGGGGGGTTGGGTGGTTGTTTTGGTTGGTGGTGGGGGGGTGGGGGGGGGTGTTTGGGGGGGGGGTGTGTGGGTTTTTGGGTGGGGGGTGTGTGGGGGGGGGGTTGGTTGGTGGGGTGGGGGGGGGGTTGTTTGGGGGGTGGGTTGGGTTGGGTGTTTGATGGGGGGTTGGGGGGTTGGGTGAGACCAATGACCTATAGACGTAGAGATAGGGGAACTTCGATTATGTATTTATTATTAACAATAATTACAAAGATTTCTATGGGCACACTAATTATCTCCAATAATTCACAAAATACCTATAATTCTACATATCCAGTCACAACCAGCGTTATGACAAAACACAAGTCCCTGTTAGTAGTCTTGATTTAATCTATTGATACAATGGTAATTCATATCACATAGGTTTAAAATTGTTTTGTTTTTTTTTTTTTTTACTTCGAAACATTTTTAACGTTTCCTTTATTTGTTTGTCAGTACAAAATTATCGTTGAGGGAGACAAGGGGGGGGGAAAGTTTCCTCCCAGCCCTTACGCCTATACTCCTACTCTTTACTCTACCTCACCCCTCCCCTGAGGTTCTGCACATTACTTTTTTTTATGTTTTTTAGAGTACTCCGGCGGTACGTTAACAAACAACAACCAATTCACTCTATTAGTGTTGATGTGCCTCTTCTCCTCCTTGAGAGCTATTTGTTACCCCCACCTACCTACCCATCCAACCCCCCCCCCCCCCCCCCCCCCTTCTACCCCCACCCCCCCCCCCCACCTCCCCCCCCTAACACACAACACCCCCCCCCCACCCCCCCCCCCCCCCCCCCCCCCTACCCCCCCCCCCTCCCCCCCCCCCCCCCCCCCCCCCTTTCCCAACAACACAATCTATTTTGTGTACTTTTGAGTTTCCTAGCTATACCAATAAAACCTGCCTTCCCTAAAGACTGAAACACACTGTTTTTAACTTTCAGAAAGGATACAGAGGCTCCATCAAAGATTTCCCAGGAGCAGATCCATCAGGGACGTGGAGGTGCTCCGGAAGGCCATGAAAGGATTTGGTGAATAATGCACTATCCAAGCTTTTGTTATGACTCTTGTTGAGGACTATTGAGTTGTTTGCATAATTTCTCTCCTGTTGTTTTTGAGATGAATGGGGAACAAACGCTTAAATTGTTCTCAAAATCTACTTTTCTCAGCTATCGACCATGTCACAGCTGTTTTCTCTTGTCCTTTACACTTGTACCGGTAGAAGAGAGGGAGAGGTGTCCATGGAGAGAGAGAGAGAGGGGAGAGTGAGTCCAGAGAGAGAGGGAGAGTGAGTCCAGAGAGATAGTCCAGAGAGAGAGAGAGGGAGGTAGGGAGAGCTAGTCCAGAGAGCTAGTCCAGAGAGCGAGTCCAGGAGGAGGGAGGGAGAGCTAGTCCAGAGAGAGAAGGCGGGAGAGCTAGTCCAGAGAGAGAGAGGAGGGAGAGCTAGTCCAGAGAGAGAGGGAGGGAGAGCTAGTCCAGAGAGATAGTCCAGAGAGAGAGGGAGAGAGAGCGACCAGAGCGAGGGGGATATCCAAGAGCTAGAGAGAAAGAGGCATTAATAATGTTTTCGTTTTATCACGTCTCACTAATTGGAAAAGCACAAACAATGTATTTTTTCTTTGGTGAAGTTTGGCTCATAATCAAAATATCTGGGGATAAAACTGGGCCCTTCGTTAGAGCGGAGAGTTTCTAAAAAGACTTCACAATGGAAGCTTTGAATTCTACTGTATCACGGGGACGATTGCAAATGTGACTGTTTTTGTTTTGTACTCAGGAATGAAATCTCTCACATTCTTAACGTAACTTCAGGGTGAGAAAAAATGGTATCAAATGTTTTAATCTTATGTACTCTTACATACATCGCAGGACATCGCTAGTCTATCTCCATCTATAGGACCAGCAGGTTTTAGACCAGTGGTGTCCAGACCTTTTATTGATGCAGAGCAGAGAGAGGCAGCAGAGAGAGAGAGGCAGCAGAGAGAGAGGCAGCAGAGAGCAGAGAGAGAGAGGCAGCAGAGAGAGAGAGGCAGCAGAGAGAGAGAGGCAGCAGCGAGAGAGAGAGAAGAGAGAGAGAGGCAGCAGGAGAGAGAGAGGAGAGAGGAGAGAGGGCAGAGGAGAGAGAGGCAGAGAGAGAGGCAGAGAGAGAGGCAGAGAGAGAGCAGCAGAGAGAGAGAGGAGCAGAGAGAGAGAGAGGAGAGCAGAGGGAGAGAGAGAGAGGCAGCAGAGGAGAGAGAGAGAGGCAGCAGAGAGAGGAGAGGAGAGGCAGAGAGAGAGAGAGAGGCAGCAGAGAGAGAGGAGGCAGAGAGAGAGAGAGAGAGGAGCAGAGAGAGAGAGAGGAGGAGCAGAGAGAGGAGAGAGGCAGCAGAGAGAGAGAGAGGAGGCAGAGAGGAGAGAGAGAGAGCAGAGAGAGAGAGAGGCAGCAGAGAGAGAGAGAGGAGCAGAGAGAGAGAGAGGCAGCAGAGAGAGAGAGAGGGAGCAGAGAGAGAGAGGAGAGGCAGAGAGAGAGAGAGAGAGAGGAGCAGAGAGAGAGAGAGAGAGGAGAGCAGAGAGAGAGAGAGGCAGCAGAGAGGAGAGAGAGAGAGGCAGAGAGAGAGAGAGAGGCAGAGAGAGAGCAGAGAGAGCAGAGAGAGGAGCAGAGAGAGAGGCAGAGAGAGAGAGGCAGAGAGAGGAGCAGAGAGAGGCAGAGAGGAGAGAGAGCAGAGGAGAGAGGAGAGAGAGGAGAGAGAGAGAGCAGAGAGAGAGAGGAGAGAGAGGAGCAGAGAGAGAGAGCAGAGAGGAGGCAGCAGAGGAGAGAGGAGAGCAGAGAGAGAGGAGAGAGAGAGAGGAGCAGAGAGAGAGGAGAGAGCAGAGAGAGGAGCAGAGAGAGAGAGGAGCAGAGAGAGAGAGGAGCAGAGAGAGAGAGAGAGGAGAGAGAGGAGCAGAGAGGAGAGGAGAGCAGAGAGAGAGGAGCAGAGAGAGAGAGGAGCAGAGAGAGGAGGCAGAGGAGCAGAGGAGAGAGAGAGGCAGAGAGAGAGAGAGGCAGCAGAGAGAGGAGAGAGGAGAGAGAGAGGAGAGAGGAGCAGAGAGAGGAGAGAGAGAGGCAGAGAGAGAGAGGCAGAGAGGAGAGAGAGAGGAGCAGAGAGAGGAGAGGAGAGCAGAGAGAGAGAGGAGAGAGCAGAGAGGAGAGGCAGAGAGAGAGAGCAGAGGAGAGGCAGAGAGGAGAGAGAGAGCAGAGAGGAGAGGAGAGAGGAGAGAGCAGAGGAGAGAGAGAGGAGAGAGAGAGCAGAGAGAGAGAGCAGAGAGAGGCAGAGAGAGAGAGAGGCGAGAGGAGAGAGAGAGAGAGGCAGGAGAGAGAGAGAGAGGAGAGCAGAGAGAGAGAGAGCAGAGAGAGAGAGCAGAGGAGAGAGAGGAGAGAGAGCAGAGAGAGAGAGAGGAAGAGAGAGAGGCAGAGCAGAGAGAGAGAGAGGCAGAGAGAGAGAGGCAGAGAGCGAGAGAGAGAGGGAGATAGACACAGAGAGAGAGAGAGAGACAGAGAGAGAGAGAGACAGAGAGGGAGATAGACACAGAGAGAGAGAGAGAGAGAGAGAGAGAGAGACAGAGAGGGAGATAGACACAGAGAGAGAGAGAGAGAGACAGAGAGAGAGAGACAGAGAGGGAGATAGACACAGAGAGAGAGAGAGACAGAGAGAGAGAGAGAGAGAGACAGAGAGAGACAGAGACAGAGAGAGAGGCAGAGAGAGAGAGAGAGGCAGCGAGAGAGGCAGAGAGAGAGAGAGAGAGACAGAGAGAGAGGCAGCAAGAGAGACAGAGAGAGAGAGACAGAGAGAGACAAAGAGAGAGAGAGACAGAGAGAGAGAGAGAGAGAGGCAGAGACAGAGAGAGAGAGACAGAGAGAGACAAAGAGAGAGAGAGACAGAGAGAGAGAGAGAGAGAGGCAGAGACAGAGAGAGAGAGACAGAGAGAGAGACAGAGAGAGAGAGACAGAGAGAGAGACAGAGAGAGAGACAGAGAGAGAGAGACAGAGAGAGACAAACAGAGAAGCAAGTATAAGTTCTCCAGCTTTAGCTGGGATCTAAATGCTAACATGCTAACTCAATGAAGCCCAAATAGAGAAGTGCTCATGGACAAAGTTTTGCTCCACCTCGCTTTGACTTCCAGCTCAGTAACTGTTTGAGACATAATTCTCGGCTTAAAAAAATCTGTGGTTTTTTGCTCTCTATGATCCTGGTGTTTGCATTTGGATATTATCTTCATAAATTGAGATACGAACCATGTAAGGATTGACCAATCGGATGCCTTCATTTGCGCGGGGAAAAAAATAGCAACACGTCAGCGGCTAACACCCAGGATGAAATTTACATATAAGGAAATTAGCTCAATCGCGTCGATTGAGCTAATTTCCTTATATGTAAGGAATATAAGGAATGTAAGGAATATATGTCTGCATCAAAGCTAACACTGGTACTTGTAGCATAGCATGTAGCATATAGAGATGTACTAGCATAATAAAACTATATGATGTATTGTTAGT